TATGAGTCTGAAACTCACTAACTCAGGCCACACTTGCTCTATATAGACATATTATACCTTTTTGAAATCAGGGTGAACCCAGGATTGAAAATCCGCCCTTCATCTGATGCTTGAACATCTAGCATTAGGATTTGTGTCTGAATGACGAGGAAACAGTTAAATATTCAAATTTTAAAATAACTGAAAAAAAATTAGTGATTTTAAGTTTTTAATTTAGATTGAGTTTAAAGTAACATGAAATTTATGTGAATTTAAAAATGTTCATTTTAAATTCAGTTTAAAATATTTCCAAAACTTTGTGAATTGATGAAATCAATTTTATTTCTTCAGAATACCAGGGAGTCAGAGTTAAAGTGTGAGGTTTTGAAGTTCTGCAGAGTTTGTGATTTGAAGAACTCAACTTAATTGAAGTTCTGCAGAGTTTGTGATTTGAAGAACTCAACTTAATTGAAGTTCCATTTTTTTTGTGATTTGAAGAACTCAACTTAATTGAAGTTCCATGGAAGTTTGTGATTTGAAGAACTCAACTTAATTGAAGTTCCATGAGTTTGTGATTTGAAGAACTCATCTTAATTGAAGTTCTGCAGAGTTTGGGATTTGAAGAACTCAACTTAATTGAAGTTCTGCAGAGTTTGGGATTTGAAGAACTCAACTTAATTGAAGTTCCAAGGAGTTTGGGATTTGAAGAACTCAACTTAATTGAAGTTCCATGAGTTTGGGATTTAAAGAACTCAACTTAATTGAAGTTCGGCAGAGTTTGTGATTTGAAGAACTCAATTTTAGGCCTGAATTGGAATTTCAACTGAAATTAGAGTTTTGACCCAAATTGGTCTTTTGCCCAGAAGTAGACTTATAGCCCGAATCAGAGATAAAGTGAGTTTTTGAAGTTCTATGGAGTCAGTTGAGGAATTCAAAATTAATTCTTCAAAATTTTCATTGCTGTTTTCTAAGATGGACCAGAGGTGCCTTTAGTTTTTGGCCAGAGGTCCAATTAGTCCTCAGCAGGAGAGAGCATGGAGAGCAGCTTTTTAACTCATTATGTACAAGTGAGGCTTGATGAAAATCAGCAAGCTTGGATTAATGTATTTTTAATAGGTATGTTTCCTGTAGTGGGGTGTTGAACTTAAATGTAGAAGAAAATTTGCTCTTGGACTGAAGTATCTAAAAATGTTCTTTGGAACAGAAGCAAAATTAACAAAACGGTTTACCAGCCAAGAACTTTTTTTTTGTACCTGTTAAATAGATGAGAAACTCCATCTAAAAGAATGGTTACAGCATTCAGGGATATTCATTGTAGACAGTGATTAAGTATTTCATATTTTACAAGAACTTCAATTCTATATTCAGGGACAACAGCTGAGTCAATTAAAGTATTGGTTCAGAAATTTAATAAATTAAATATGGGTATCCACTAAAAGCAATGTTTAATAAAATCTATCAGATTAATATACATTATATATATATATATATATATATATATATATATAGATATAGAGAGAGAGAGAGAGAGAGAGACATAAATATAGAAAAAGCAGACACTAAAGTGAACACGAGCATTGTTTTTGTGTTTGAATGCAATCTTTGGGCCTGAAGATTGTGTTCAAGCATGAAACAGACTGTGAATGCTTGGTGTTGACACGAGTGTCCACTTTTATATTTTTATATGTACATATGCTCTATCTCTCATATTGAGTACTTTTATCCATAAATATAGCATATTTCAAAACTATATTTTTGTCATATATATATCAAATTTTAATAATTTCATCCCCAAGCAAGGCAATAAAGCCACTATGATGCAAGGGGTCACTGACTGTCAATGAATATGAGAAAAAGAAAAACGTTATTAAGGTGAGAGAATTTAATAATGAGCAATGTTTTTAATCAGTTTTAAAAAATACAACAGAAAATATGTCAAGCAAAAATCCTTTTATATATAAGTGTAACAGCATCCATTACCGAAATGATTCAATACTGTGAACACACACACAAAAACAGGGCCTGATGCATTTAAAAACATACAAGAAAGATTTGAAATATAAAAATAAGGTGAGAGAGAAAGTAATTGGACACTTTATCTGCTTTCTATGCATCAATCAAGACAAAAAAAATATATATATATATATATATATATATATATATATATATATATATATATATATATATATCTTGATCTGAGTCATAAAAAGGTCTTAAAAATAATTTTAAAAATTAGTCAAGAACAGTTAATGACTAATTCAACCTGTCTTAAATATAGATTTTTAAAAATACTTTACTTTCATTTTTTTAAAAAAATCTTCTTGCTTCACTGTTAAGAAACAGTTGAACATTTTTTTTCTTTCATCTGAAACTTTTTGAAATTTGTTGATGACATTAAAATTTTACAGTGGGGGGGGAGTATATTTTTTACTTCTGCAGTGTCTCAAGAGAACATAAGTGTAACTTATGACTTAACTTTTTAATCTGCCTAAATACATGAAATAACTTGTTTTCCAATATTATTAAACTTTGGTGATAGGAACTAGTTTTGTTCTCTGGTTTGTAATTGTAAGCCAGAATACATCTAAGAGGTGAGAAATTACTACATCTAAAACCATAGCAAAAGTAGCTGAGGCCAATAAAAAAAAAAAGATTCCACTTAAATAATAGCAATTTGAACTGTGACCTCAAACTTAATGACATAATGTTAATAATGAGATTATAAGGAAACATTCGGCATTCATTGACCCAAAAGTGTAAATTTATAGAATCTTTTTCTTAAAGCAGTTTTTCAGGAAAAGAAGTTTCTCAAATTCACTTTTATCACTCTTTCTAGTATTAATGATGGGAGTTTCCTTCCTAACCTTTTGTTTAAGGTAGTGTGGAGTGTCAACAACTTGATCATGTTATTTTCCCTTCTAGTTATATGCTCTATCCATTTGAATTGTTCATGTGAAAGGAACCAAAGTAAAAAAAGAAAACAAAAAGCAGCTACTAAGCTTATTGCATTTATCAAATAAATAAAAGTCAAAATAGCTAACGTATTAACTGTGAGAGCCTTTGGTACGTCTGTAGAAAACCCCCAAAGCTGATCCCCTGTGCTCAGATGACTACAAACTGAAGAGCTTAATTTTTCATGTCATTTGATAACATTTATTAATGTGAGCATTGTATTAGAAGAGGGTGCTGAAAAATCCAATAGGGATTTCTAAAAATCTTTAGGTTTAGTCATTCAGTTAGATTCTGATAAATGGGATAGGCTAAGTATTTTGCAGCACCCTCCTCATATTTAGACAATCATGTCATATCAACATCTCATCTTCAGAGTAAACGTAGGTAGGTTAGCTAAACAAATGCTTTGCTCTTATTTTAGAGAGAAGTGCAAGAGAGGGTGATTTTATAGGAATGAATTACTAACAGGCAGCAAGGAGAAAAACATTAGAATACCTTTCCCTCTATTGTTCTCTCTCTCTCTCTCTTTATCTCTCTCTCTCTCTCTCTCTCTAGAGAAATAAAAAAAAAAGGCAAAGTGTTAGTGGCTAAAATAAGAAGCTTAGTCAAATTTACTTTAGCTAGGTTAGTACTATGCACTCTCACACTAAGTTGGAAGAGAATTATGGCATTTCTCAGTAGTTGGAAAGTAGGAATTGGTTTTGGGATTGAAGTATTCTCCAAACTATTCCACTTGTATACTAATGATGAAAGTATCCATTTCTATACAGAAAGCATTCAACATTCATTGACTAAACAGCATTGACACAAATTAAAATTTATAAAATCTTTTACTTAAGGGAAAATTAGAGTTCTCAAGTCCACTGCTTTCTTTTTTTTTTTTAATCATTTTGCCCCAAGCAAGGCAATAGCGCTAGGCTATAAGACACAAGGGGTTACTGGGAGTGGAAGAGAATGAGAAGAAATTAGTGAGGAAAAGGATAATAAAAGAACAGGTTTCAGGAAGACAGAAGATGGAAACTGATGTTGCATTTAAACTTTTGTACATTGTAGGTGACAGTAAAGCAAGAAAGTGGAAGAGAAATCGAGAAGTGCAGGCAAAGAAACTATTATTAGAATAGACATTACGTTTACATCTAGCATAGTTCAACAATAAAAAACATGAGACATAGTTGCCAATCTAGTAGAGTGCTTAAATTCATGTGATGGAGATACTAAGGAGAACAAATCCATTAGAATGGCTGCAATGAAAATATTTATAGAAAAGGCAGAGGGAAGCCATATCGTTGTGGTCAGAAAATGACTGAATTTGAGATGTCAGGTCAGGATCGATAACATTAGACACATCTTTTGATTTTTGTAAAGTATTGTCTTTATTGTAGTTTTTATCACCAACACCGATGCTTTTGTTTTTTTTAATAATTTTCCTCCAAGCAAGGCAATAAAGCCACTAACACAAGTGGTTACTGAGAATATGAGAAAAAAAAACAAAAAAACATTATTACAGGTGGTTGGTTAATTTTGTTTAGCAGCATATCAATCTCCATGAGTTATTTAATGCCATAATCGAAATATTTTGAACACAATTTTATGCCTTCAACTAAATATATTTTGAATGTAACAGTATACACCTTCAGCTACAGATAAAATGTATTGTTGGTCATTCTTTTTACATAAACATCTATTTCAGATATTTTACTAAATAATATATTTTATACTGTCATAAGGTTTTGTTTGTGGGCTTTACTATTTGAAAATAGCTGGGACCCTAACAGATGCTACCCCCCCCCCAATTATTAAGGAATGAGGACAATGAACAGGAATTAAAAGTACAGAAGATAATCATTGACATTACATTTCAATTTTTAAAGATCAAAGTTGACAAGAAAGCAAGATTAAATGACAAGAGATGAAATACATGCCTGCAAGATTTGAAAACTTAATGATTAATTTCTACCATTATTGTCTTTGTTGTAGTTTTTATTGCCAATACTGATGCTTTTTGAAACTTATTAAATATTTGAAATATGTGATACGACTTTAAATGAAACTCTTTATAAGATACTTACACACTGTGCCTTTCTTTGTGTGGGATTCAAACATTAACACACTGGCAAGTTCCCGTTTCACCATGGTGGACAGATGAGACAGCGCTTTTATATGAAGAAGCTCTTCGTAAATAATTTCCAAATCTTCAGGAGTTCGCTCACATGATCTGTAAAGGGAGAGAAAACAATAAAATATTAAGTCAGCTACAATTGATTTTTAAGTTAACTTTTTAAAAATTCTATTTTAAGAGTTCATAATGATTTGCATTGATTAATTTTTTACAGTTTATCAACCCTTTGTGGGTTATTTAAAGGCAGAACATATTTTGGATTGTAAGAACTATTTTTATTTTTTCTTGTGAATATGATTTTTTTTGTTCCTGATACAAGTCCTACGATGTAACTCAGGGCTGGGGGGAGAAGAAATGAATTCATACATTTCCCAAGAGTATTTGCACATGCAACAACCTCAACTGGAATTCAAACTCAGCTGATTTTTCATTCCAAGCCATTATCCATGACACCACCGACACATCCACTTAAGAAGTCACAAGATAACGCAAAGAAATGAAGAAAATAATGCAGCAAGAATAAAAGTGATTTTAAAAAGAATAAAAAGAAACTGAAGATAAAGTGAGAGAAGTTATAATCTGTATGTTTGGCAGCCAGAAACACTTGTGTTTATTTGTAACTATTAGCTATCCATTTAAATGTTTGTTATTTAAGAGCTTGTATTCATTTGGGATTGCGTCAGCTGTCTCTATAAGTGCTATTGGTACCAATGTAACCCAGTAATATCTGCCACATTGACAACTAAACCAGTCCCCCACCAGGCTTTTCTGGTGAGGAGAGTAGCCAGACACTCAGTAAGATTAAAAACAAGACCTGTCAAAAAATGGATAAACCTTCTTGTCAGGTCAAGTGCCATTGAGCAGAATGGGTGGGAGGTAGATTGGGCTCCATAACTACATACAGCCAGAGTGGAGGGCTTCCCTCAATGGGATCAACCGCCATGTGTCTGTGGCCAAGTTGAGCTTTCCAGTTAGACGACATTGGCTGGGGTTTGACAAAGACGAATGGACTCTGTTAGGACCACCTGCCCAAAACATGTTACACATGAATGAAAACTGGGTTGAAAGCCAGAGAGGTATTGTAGGATGAACTGGTCTAGTGCTCAACTGTGCAGAAATCATATTACCACACCAAAAAAGCCTGGTTTAGTCTCCAATGACCTAAGCATGTGGCATGTAGTATTGGGTTACATGGTATCAGTAACACTCATTGTCCCAATACAAAGTTATTATATAACTACTTTTCTTTAAGTTTTCAACAGTATCAACAAAATTAATATACATATCAACAGATATTGAGGAAATACAAAAAAGATATTTTATTATTCATATTAACAGTAGTTCTTTATTATCATCACTTGCAGTTTTTTATCAGTTATCATTTAATGTAGTTATAACCACTTATTCAATAAAACACTTTTCAGTAGATTGATTCCAAAATTAGCCGATATCATTGCAAAGAAGATGAAGATGTTTACATGTTCTAACAGTTAAAAGCATTGGAGAAACAGAGTTCAAATCTTTGTGTTTACTGCATTAATACCCTTGAGAAAGGTTGGAATCTATTTGTTCCCCTCCCAGTTCAGCTCCGAGTTAAATAACAGGGTAGAATGGATACTCTAGCCTTGAGTGGCAGTCAGTGGATGTGAAGGGCTACTCTGAATTCCAAAAAGCATGAAGAAACCAAAAGGAAACATTATCTTTCCAAATCATAACAATTTACAGATAACAAAGAAAAAAAGGAATCTGTGGAGAGCCATGATCTTTTCCATGTGAAAAAAAAAAAACATAACTTTTTTTTTAAAACAATAAAAACTAACCATAACAGATCAGAATTGATAAATATTGTTTTGTTGTCCATTACAAAACCATTAAGTAAAACATTCTATTTGTAAACTGATTATATGACATACAAATAAAATGTGTAGACAAGAACAGAAGAAAAAGAGAGAAATGACTTTGTGCAATTTTGAGGAACTTATCAGGGAGTAAATTTGTGTTTCTTTCTCTGACAGAATTGAAAATATTTTTTCAGCAGACAAGTCTTTAATAAATCTGCAAAAATACACGTACATATTCCCTTTTGTGTTTCTAAGCATTTACAAGTGAATAAATGCATAAATATTATCTTTTCAGATGATTAATTAGGATTCCTAATGAATGTCTGTGTTTATAATCACACTTTGTTATGATATATCGTTAGGTGACCACATGCCTGATGTAAAACAGAAGACTTTTACAGATGAGGATGCAGGAAGGACAATCACTAAGTCAAGATCCATCAGGCTAAAATAAATAGTCTCTTGTATAAATACATACCTGCATAAATGTATGTCAGCAGCCATAGCTTTTAAACAGTACATATGCTATCGAGCGAGAAAAGAAAACAGCCAAATATTTTGATAAATTATTAATTTCCATCATGTCTGTTGCATATTTGAAAAGGATAGAGCAAAAGAGAGAAATCTTTTCTTTTTGAATCATTTCACTCCAATCAAGGGGATAATGCCACTAAGATGCGAAGAGGCTACAAGAAGTGAAACAGAATTAGATGATTTTAGTGAGGAGAAAGGGCAATAAAAGAACAGGATTCAAAAAGACAGAAGGTGGCAATTGATGCTGCATCTAAATTTTTGAAGATCGTGTGTGGCAGAGAAGCTAGAAACTAGAAGAGTGTTCCACAGGCAAGAATTTTTTTTTTTTTTTTTTAAATCGGTATCACCCCATACAAGGCAGTAAATCCACTAAAACACAAGGGGGGTTACAGGGTGTGTAAGAATTAGGAACAGAAACATTAATAATGAGTGGAAAGAGAAAAAAGTAATCAGGAGGATAGGAGTTCAAGAAAAGAAACTATTAGAATAGAACTTAGGAGAATTACATCTAGCTAGTTCAACAGTAAAACAATGAGACCTAATAGCCAATCTAGTAGGATGTTTAATTAATGAGATCAAGGCACCAAGGAGGAAAGTTCATCAGAATAATTGCCATGAAAATATTTGCAGAAAATACAGGGAATTCAAGATGCCAGGTCAGGACCATGAAAATTAGAGATCTTTCTTGAGATTTACTTGAGAATCTCAAGATATACAGCAGGTGCACCAGACCAGATATGGCAGCAATATTCAATCTTTTATATCTAAAGACAATCTAGCTTAAGACTGATTTTTTTTTAGATAGAATAATCAAAACCAGAAAGAAAAATTTGTTTTGCCCAGTTATATGAAGAAAAAATCTTATTAATTTAATTACATTAGTAATTGTCATATCAATATGATGACATATTGACCAAGTTTTCCATTACATTCAACAATGTTTGATTGACAAAGTTTCGTATAACATGGCATCCCTAACACTGTTTGAAAATTGATTTGTTAATATATAAAGTCCGGTTCATATGTATTTAGTGTATGACATCAATGGATAAAGCAAGTGCAACACTGAAAATATGTATAAAGGGAATTATTTGCATGGAATCTCTGCCATGCACAATGACTGTTAATTTCATGTGAAACTTGGGTCAAATCCTTAAATAGCCTCATCAAATGAAGACTTTCATATGGATGCCATGCATAGCACCAATCCCATTCAGAAATATCTGTCAGCTGTATACAACCACTTTCCAAGATAAATGGTTAAAAATGGCTTTGAGCAAGTGAAGCCAGAGTGTCTTGGCAAAGGCCATTCTTTAAACATTGCTGACTGAAGCTACAGAATCAAAAACAAAGAATTGTACCCAATAAAAGACATCACATCAGCTAAAGTGGATATCACATGTAACACAAATCAGCTAAAAAGAAGCAGCTAAAGTGGATATCACATGTAACACAAATAGAAAATAATGACATAATTAAAATGTTGACATTCCACAATACTTCAAACAAAAGGTTAGGAAAGAAACTCCCATCAATACTGTTAAGAGTGATAACTGAAAAATTGTTTTAAGAGAAAGATTTTATAAATTCCAACCAAAATACTGGCTGCTTGGTCAATGAATGCTAAATGTTTCCTTATAAGGAAACGGTTAATATTACCATTACCATTTCAGCAGGCAAACAATGCATCTGAAGAATTAGTCCTGAAAGGAGAACTGGATATTTTTTAGGAAAGGCCATTCTGCAATCTACAGAATACTAAAAAAATTTTGAAGATTAAAATTCAAAGTTGTTTTACATCTTCAAATTCAGCCCTGATTTTGAACTATCATACTCATGGTGGTTCCCATAATTCAATCTGGGTGGCCTGGGGGGGGGGGGTTAAGGAAAGGTCAACATTTCTTATTCGATATCTAATCTGTGGTGCACAACTGGATCAAGATAAACCAGAAAATTTATTTATATATAGATCAAAAAAATGAAGAGAATGTTTGATAAAAAAAATGGATAGATGGTGATGATATAAAATAAACGTATAATTTTGATACCAGTTGTCTAAAACTTGTTTTATATGACTGGAGACCTTACTTATCAATCAACCCTCGTAATTTTAAAGAGAAACAAATTTCCTTCATTTTGATACCAGTTTTATTATTCTATCTGTTCTGAAACTTGTTTTTCCTCAAATCAACCCTTGTATATCATATTTTCTGTTTGTTTTATTTGTTTTTATTTAAGCAACTACTGAGAAATATGACTTTGCAACATTTTACTTACAATGAACCTTTTTTCATATGACTCGCATTGAATTAAGAATTAGTTTCTCTGGATAGATGCCTTTCTCTGTAGAGTTATATCTTCAGTATATGATGTGGGGTCGAAAAATTATTAGCCCAACCACTTCCCAAAATCAACATTCTGAGGTTTGCGAATTAACATACTGATTTTATATAGTGGATCAGGTCAAGAACTTTTCACAACCCCAGTAAACAATTATACATTTCTTTTTCCACATATATTTTTATGAATTGATTCAACTATATCCAATCCCAATTTTCATACAAGAACATCTCTCCAAGTCAATGTTTCAAAAGAGCAAAACCGATTTTCTAGAGCCAGATGATAAGAAGATTCTCTTTTGGTATGGCTTGTCATTTTTTCTTTTTCAATCTATCATTCTTGTCTTTTTTTTTCTCTTTCTTTTTGTGTCTCATTCTTGCCTTTTGACCTACCCTGCTTCGTGGGTGAAACATCAATCAATTCACAACTCAAACACCAGAGTAGGTTAGGGTTCAGGGGCAAGATTCTAAATGCAGTCATATTCTCTTGGGCAAGATGTTTAGATGATAAAATCATTATTATATCTGAGTATACTTGAACAGAGATACGCACACAAAATATATACATTTGTACATGTTATATTGAATGACAAGATTATATATATATATATATATATATATATATATATATAAGAGAATAAATATATATATATTTATATGATAAGGGAATAAAAACTCTGTTGTGATATGTTTTGTTCTGAGAAAAAAAAATCTTCAAATAATACCAAAGTGCTGTCTTTTTGTTTGTTTTCTCTCAATTGTTGATAAAGCTTTAAGAAAAGTAAAACATGTTAGATTGATAAACATTTCCTATTTGTTCTTTATCTTATCTTACACACACACACACACATAAATGTATCAAGCACACAATTTCTTCTTTTTCTCTATATTTCATTCTCTGATGAAGCTTTAATAAAAGTGAAACATGTTAGATTGATAAACATTTCCTATTTGTTTTTTATCTTATCCTGTTAGATTCCAAGCCATATTTGATCTCTAATGTCTGTCTCTGTGTGTGTACATATATATATATATATATATAAAAAATCTAGCTTTGTTACATTCCATTGTACAAATAACAAGTATTCATTTTCTACCTACTTTTATACTAATTAATCTGAAGACTGAATCTGCAATCAGCTCCACACCTGTAATCAATTCAAAACAATGGCCCATTCAATATATTTTTAAATCCCTGTTTAGTCAAAATCTGTCTTGCCTCCTTGTCCTTCTTAGCTTCAGTGACTTTCTTTGTATCTTTCAGACTTTGTACCGATTGCTGTGTCTCTTGGAGTTATTTCAGAATGAACCAAACATCGAATTGGTCTTTTCGCACAAAACTCTTTTCTACAATCTTCTGACCTCAAATTTCAGTGCAATTCGTCCTTTCCTCATAATCATGCAGTTCCTCTTAGCTTGGGGGTATTTACCTGCTTAAAAGTGCAAAATCCAAAGATATTTATAGTCACCTGTTCTGGTTCTCAGTAAAAGAAATATTTAGATCTTCCTGGTGAGACTTTAAAATACAGTAAAATTCTACTGATTTAAAAAAACAAGACAAAAATCACTTAAGCAAACTTTGAGTGTGCCTAAATAGGGAAGTTGATAGCTGGATGTATAGAACAAATGAACGATAGAAAAACAATAGGGAAATAAAAATAGATATGTTTATAGAGAAGCTGAAAAATAAACAGTTTTTAGTGAGGCTAAAAAAGAAAACAGGGTAAGACAAATGGAGAGAAAGACAACATCGATGTAGATGCATATAAATGTATAAATACAGAGACAGATAAAAAGATAAGCGCATACAATGTTATTAAAACTTAGTAATCTGTGTAAATGATTGGTTAAATACAGAGATATTAAAGGATAAATTACAAATCTGACAACATGATATTTAGATATGTAAGAGGCAAAAAAACAATTGTCACTCACGGCTTTCGAAGTATCATTCTCATTATAGCATCTGGTCCAACCTGAGACAACATTTTCAAAACATCTGCTAGTTCTTCTTCATAGTGTTTGAGTTCCATGGTAGGAGGGGTTGGTAACACATGGCTACTTGTGCTGCCTGTACCTGTACCCCCTGTACCCATGGTATCAGTACGCCCATCTACAAATCGGTAGAAGAGATATTTGTCCCGAAATGGATGCTCTTCGCAGACTGTTGAAAAAAAAAAGAAAACAGAACAAAAATAAGATTAAATGAGTTATACAAGTTCCGTTTCATATTTTTAATAATTAAGATTTTTATAATTTAACAACCAGCACTGAAAGTTGGGCAATGTTATCTATTATATTTATTCATTGAGTATCTTGTGGTAGGCATTCAAGTTTGCATGACAACAAATCTAAATACTCTATACTCCTGAATACTCTATACTCCTGAATACTCTAACCCTCTTTTTAATATTTGAGTTGATAAATCATTTCATTGCACAACCAGATCCTTGTGAGTGACAAATTATTTTCCACTCAACAACCCCTTTCCCACAGATTAGACCTGGCTAGCCTCTTGCTGCTCTATCACCATTTCCATGGAAAGTTTTCAGATGAATGACATTGCTTAGTTCCATCAATTCTAACCTTCATGGCTTAGACCAGCCATGCCAGACATGTTACTACAAACCACCCTCATTCTCTTTGTATTCCATTGTAAGTTCCACGGAAACAGCTTCTTCTCATGAACTACGACCTCATAGTACCAACTCCCAAGAAGATGCTTCCCCAACCACTAGAATCTTAACCTGTTCATGTCTACGGTTAATGGTTATCTTCCTCACATATCTGCATAAACTGTGCTTCTTAATCTAACTCTTTACTTTGAATGGCTCTTGGGCCTTATACAGAGTAGACCTTACTGTAAAAAAACAATATTCATTCATTTACAATTAAAAAAAAACAAAAAAAAAACATCAACAACAGACATCATATTGTACCCAAGGAAGATAATTCCTTGTACAGAACTTTTAATGGTAAAGATGAGTTTTTTTGTTGTTTTTTTTTATTAGAGATAGATTAATGTGTAAAAAGTTATAGAATTACTAAATATTTATAAATTGTTTTCAGATTTCAAGATCTGCCAAAAATTATGATATCGGTTTTGAAATGATATAAAGAACACATGTAATGAATTCCATTTTATTTCTTTTATAATTAGTTGTGAGAAATAAATACTTCTGCCAGATGATACGCATTGCAATCTCATGACAAATCCCCCAAAACAAAACAAATTTACTGACAAGATTCAAACTGAATTATAGGTCAATAAAAGAAATTTGATTGTTTAAAATAATTGGCAAATTTTGTAAGGAATTTCAAAATAAATAATTTTGGGAAAGAGGAGGTTATTAAAACTGGGAATGAGAATGAAGAATTTAGCAGCAAAAATTAATGAAAAAGGAGAAACATTTTTCCATTATCACTTTATTCATAAGATGGATGCTAAAATTTATTTACAAAACATTCTTTGAATAATGCATTTATCAATATATTAAAATTGTATATTTTGGGCAGCAGTCCCTGTTTTTATACAAGTTTCATTCAAAAAGGTGACTCACAAGGTTCTGTGGTTAAGCTTTTTATTTAGTTTTTTGTGTTCATATAAGTTTTCTTCTTTTCTGGACATTGTCCAAATATTTTGTATGTCTGAACTATTATCAAGAATGGGTTTTTATTTTTAACTGAATGTGTGAATTTTTATGTATGTATCTAGAGTTAAGAGAATTTATTAAGTACTTTTTTTTCCAAACATGATCAGCATAGTGTGACCGTGTTCATAGTTAGCCTTGTCCACCTCCAAAAAAGGCTAAAAATAATGGAAGCGTTGATAATAAAAAGAAAAAGCCAATGGCGAGTAACACCAACTATGAACATGGTCACAATATCTTGACCATGTTTGGAAAACAAAAAACAAACTCTTGATACATACATAAAAAATCTATACATTTAGTTAAAAAAAATTAATCTATGATAAGGGCTAAAAGAATAGCTGAAAGTGATCAGATGTGAAGAACATTCAATTTTTATGTCCAGAAAAGAAAAGCTTATAAGAACACAAGAAAAATGAAATAAAAACCTTAACCACAGTACCTTGGCAGTCGAATTTAATGAAATTTGTATGTGTATATATATATATATATATATATATATATATATATATATATGTATGTGTATATATATATATATATATATATATATACACACACACTGGGTGTAACAGCAAAATTGTCTATTTGTTAGATTAATCTCTGAACCGTTGTACCTTAGAAGTCATGAAAGATATCTTACTGGAATTCTCCAAGGTTTTTATAACACTATTGGACTCTACTTTGAGCAATAAGAATGTATAATTATTAGGTTGGTGCAAAAATAATGACATAATAATGTCGTTTTTTAACTTATTTTTTAAAGTCAAAAAACGACATTATTACGTCATTATTTTCGCACCAACCTAATACCTTACACAACTCAAAAAACTTGGCATATAACACCCATGTGTGTGTGTGTGTGTGTGTGAGAGAGAGAGAGAATTGAGATCAAATATAGGGCAACTATAGACTAGAATGCAACAGAATGATAGGATAAGGAACATACAGGAAATGTTTATAAATTTAGCATGTTTCACTTTTATTAAAGCTTCATCAGAGAATGAAATATGGAGGAGAAAAAGAAAATCTTTCTATTTTTAATTTTTGAGTTATTTGTTCTTCATTGGTTAAGCAGACCTCACATGCATCTGTCTTGTCAAGTAGCATTTGTGTGTATAATTCATGTGTATTAAAATTCTAGTTTGTCTATGGGAGATTTGATAATGTACATTCATGTGTGTGTCTACAAGGAATTTTTAATGATGTGTGCAAATAAACTTCCCCTATACATAATATATTTATTTTACATCTTGTTAGTTATTCTTTCTTTGGCTGTAGATAAAAAAAGGAACATTTTTATAGCAAGATCCTAATGTGCAGCCATTACAAACCAGGAATATTTTGCAATTTCTAATTTTAAACCAGCCTGCCTGCCAAGCAGGAATTGGCTTTTAGGAATAGAATCAATAAGCAAAAAAAATAAAATCTCAGACTTTTGCCCTGATGCTTATGAAAAAAAGAAAAAAAAAAAGAAAGAAAGTTAAGTAGTTCTTAAGCAGTTGCTGAAAACTCCCAACAGAATTGATCATGAAATAGAAATCATAAAGTGATGAAATAGGACAGATATACATTCATTCCCCAGACAGGAGATTTCAGTTTCTATCTAGTCAACCACAAATCAGACACACTGAAGAGATATCAACGAGGATTGCTTTTTAAGACAGTCATGGCTATAAGAACCGTCTGAAAGTACAAGAGTGATGTTTTAACGAAATCTAAATCTATAACTTAGAATGAAAAATGTTTTAAATAAAAGTAGCTGTCAATGGAGAGATAGAGTAATATGGAGAGAGAAGCGTAGAATATAATGAAGTTTGGTTATGTACACCCACATGCGCACGCATGCACCATGTTAAGCATTTAAGACAATGGAAGTCATGGATGTTAGAAACCTGCTCGACATACAAATTACAAATTGTAGATACCAAAATCAAACAAATACAAAAAATTAAATATCTAGGAAGTGCTTTAACAGATGAGGAAAAGTTAACACTGAGATCAGAAGGTATATCAGGATAGCCAAAGATGCATTCCAAAAGCTAAGCAGAGTATTAAGAAACAGGAAAATTTTGTTAGAAAGAAAGAAAAGACTACTGAACTATTATGTGATATCTGTCCTCCTGTATGGCAGTGAATGCTGGACAATCTCCTCACAGATAAAGAGGAGACTTGAGGCAACAAAAATATGATTCTACAGGAGGATGCTGAGGATACTATGAACTGAAAATGTGAGCACCTATATATATATATATATACATTGCAAATAAAAATTTATATACATTACAAATTAAACAAAACACAACTGGCTATTAAAAAATTAAAAGCTTTCATGGATTTTGACATCAGTCTCAGTTCTCTATTTTTCTTTGTTCAAATTCATGCTAAGTCTAAAAAAAAAAAAAAACCTATAAAATTCACTATTTTTTTATCCATAATGTTGAACAAGTTAAAATTCAACATTTTAATAAAAAAAATCTCAAGTTGACGTTAAAAATTGCTGCAAAACATTGTTGATTTATTTAAAAAGATAGAATGATCTATGACTTGTCTCTAATTTGCATACATTGTATTTATTTTCAATTTTTCTAGTTGAATTGTTCACCTATATTGCATATACTCCATTCCATTATTGTACATAATTAGGTTAGAATAAAATTTGTATTTTATATGAATACTACGTCATGAAAATTGACATGTAGTAGAGCAGGGTTCCCCATATTATAAATTTGGGTGGGGGGGAATGCACCTACAAGAATCTTGCACTGGTCCTGGAGCAACTTATTTGCTTGTTCAGCCAATGTAAAATAAATGATGAAAAAGAAAAAGGTTGGGTTTTTTTTTGTTTTTTTTAAATGAAGATTTACTAATTGTTTATTTTTTTTTCTTTTGTTTTTCTTTCCAACAGCTTCTGGCTAAATAATGTTCCCCACCCCTATTCTGAACCTTGATTGTGGGTCATTGCTGCTGACCAATCAAAATTTAAAACTAAATCAGCAGAAAATACGAAAACAGAATATAACAAACTAATGATCAATTCTTGAAAAAAATATTGAGGGCCACAAATATTCAATAAAGAATTGCTTTTTATCAATTTTAAATAATGAAAAACTGCAAAAAGTTTGAATATAAAAAATAACAGATAAAAAAGAAACCTAAATAATTCTAAATTATAAAATGGTCATAATTAGTAATAATAATAATAATAATAAAGTGGATAATAAAGACATAAATGACTGCAATAATAAATACAATAAAAAGTATATATTTTATGCAATTCAAATATAGCATAATGACAAAAAACATTTATTTTACACAAATATTCATTTTTCAACATTATCTGCTTCCTTGTCAATGCACTTAATCCAATACTTCTTCATTAATCACATACATAGAATAAGTCTGTAGCCTAATGATGAAAAAAGCCTAATATTTATTTTTCAACATAATCACCTTCTTGTCAATGCACTTAATCCAATGCCTTTTGATTAATCACTTATGTAAATCAATAAGTCTG